CCCCCCCCCCCCCCCCCCCCCCCCCCCCGGGGCAATGCCACAGCCCAGCCTTAGTCCCCTCCCTGGGCCGGCTCCCTCACTGTGCTCCCACTCACCCTCCCTGCCCCTTCCCCTCCAGCTGCCCCCTCCCTGCCCGTGGGCCATGGGGACATCTGGGCTTCACGACCTCTCCTTGGCCTGGCTACATTCTGATTATTCCACCCCCTTTATGCTCCAGCACACAAGCGGCCGCTCTGTTTTTTAGATTCACTCCTGTCAATCCTGATTGCTTTAAAAAAAATGCCTACACCCTCACCTTTTTATGTGAATACAGAAGAACTTGGCCTTCTGTCCTCAGTATTGCCCTCTGTGGTCTTATGAAGGAACCCTGAATTGGAGGTCAGCAGAGTTGGGTTGTAGGCATGGTTCTTTGGTAAATAACTGACCTTGAGCAGGTCATTTCTCTTTTTGACTCGTGATTCCCCCGTCTAACCAGGGGGTGACAGTAAGACGCTCCTGAAACAAAGCCTGTATGTGAGTGCTTTATGAACCGAAACGTACTTTGTAGGTGTTAGTCTTTACCTGGGTCTCCGTTCACCCCCCAAGACAACCTTCCTTGTATTGTTCTAGTGCTCAAGCCTGGCCTCACATTCGAATCACCTAGAGAGCTTTCCAAAACTGCCTGTGTCCACCCTGAGACAGTCTGATTTCCTTGGTCCTGGGGTGACGCCTGGGGACGAGCGGTATTCGAAACTCCCTGGGTGACTTTACTGGGCAGGCAGCACTGAGAAGCCCTGATCTGTCGGAACGAGGAGGAATGTGGAATAGATGGAGGAAGGCTTAGAGGCATCCCTCCTCTCCTTCTTTTTCAGGATTTGGGCTTTCTCTCTTTTCGTGGAGCTCCGGGCGCACTTCACCCATCCCCCACTCACGGTGGCAGGGAGCCCTGGAGCACCTGCTGATGAACCTGACCCCTCTAAGTCTCTGGCCAAACCTTCAGCTGGGGCATGGGCTTCCTGTTTGCTAGCCCAGCAGGACTCTCTTGAATAGCTTGACTGGGAAACCCAGCCAACAGTATTTTTACAGATGTTTCATTATTTTTAATGAAAACCAGTTCCTTCTCCACCTTGGGACCCAAAGTCTGCTGGACGCCTCCCATCGAAGGGCTGGCAGAACATCCTAGTGCGACACGTGTCCAAATACCACCTTGTCTACCCCCCACCCCCCACCCCATGCATATCTGCTCCTCCTGACTTCCCACCTCAGCCAGTATGTCTGGCTTTCACATCCCCCAGACGGGAAGAGACCGCGTGGCCTCTGTGAAGGGGGCAGGTTCTGGAGTCCAACGGCCTAGGTTCAAATCCTAGTGAACGTTGACCAATGACTTAGCCTCTCTGAGTGTCAGTTTCTTCTCCTGTAAAAGGCGGAGGATCATCGTTCCTATCTCATACGGTTTGCCAAAATTAAATGAGTTTAGACCCGTAAAATGCTGAGCAACTTGCACACGGTAAACGCTCAGGGAACGTGAGGATGTCCTATGTATACCTTCTCCTTCTCCACTGCCCACGTTCAATCGACAATTCCGAGCTGTGAGTTCCAGCCCTCAATTGTTTCTTATTTGCTCCCTCTGTCCCCAAGCACTTAACTTCCGTTCATCCGTCCTCTCAAGCTCTCCCTGGCTGTAATCCTCTCTTTAACCTATCCCGTAATGCCACCAAAGCCATCTTACTTACGTAGAATTCTGTTTGCATCACTTCCTCACTTAAAAAAAAAAAAAAAATGCTGGCTGCCTTTTCCCTAAGCGCAGAGTGAGGGCCTAACTGCCTCGCATCCCCTGCTGTGCCGTGTATCTTGGGGGTAAGGTTCTCGGAACCTTAGCTCAGGCGATCTACAACCCGTGGGACTGCGGGGTCACCTCCTGAGCTGACAGGCCAGCTTCATATCCAGAAATGGGTTCCTGCCTGTTCTCGTTTACTAATGCGTCACTCCAGGGTGTGGCTGGGTTGAAAAGAGCTCTATTTGGTTTCGGCCACATGGGACTGAAACATATGAAAAAGTACTCTTTGAAGACACATTGGTCATTGATTATTTTTAAAGACTTCCCTTAAAATGTGAGCTAGCTTTCTCCAGTCGTCCTCAGCCACATATCCTGTTCGTTGTGAGCTGTAAACAGGATGGAAAAGCGCCCGAGAAACTAACGACAAAGCTCTAAGGAGGAACGGATTGAAACAGGGAATGTCAATTTCTTATTCCCCGACACTGGCTTCCATCTTGGTGAGAGCACATTCCCTTAATGGAAAGGTACCCCTGGAGGCTACAGCCGGAGTACTTTGTCTTCACGAAGCATCCCTCAGGATGACCGTCATGTTGACGGATCAGTCCTTTGGCAGGCTGCCCATGGAGCAGTGGCCACACCAGCCACACAGTGTTCCGGGTGTTGGAACAAATGGGGTGGTGGGGCACGTGGCCAGCCCAACGGGTGAACGGAGCTGCTTTCACTTGGAGCAGTTTCTCGTTGAGCAGCTGTTTGCACAACACCCCTGATTTGGAATCAGCTATGGGAGGAGCAGAAGCAAGCAAGACATGTGTCTTGTGACTGTACAAAACATCCAATTGAATTCCACAAACGTTCCATACTATGAGTAGAAGCAGCAGCGAGCTGACGTGCTTTAGACAGAAGATGAATCCTAAGTGATCCTTGCCCTTATCTGTGACCGGAATGTGCAGTAGGTTCAGATCTGCCCTCTCAGCACCGCGCATCTTCAAAGACGAGTTTGAGAAGGTCAATTTGCTGTGACTTCGGAGAGGTGGCCCCAGAGGCAAATTCCTTCCGTTGCTTTGCTCTCTCTCTCATCGCCCTCTGGTGTCCACACAGAGACATGGCCTTCATAACCAGGCACGGGCATAGAGTCCAGCTTATACTCCCACAGTTGGGGAAAAAAAGAGACCCTAGTTTTTAAGACGACTTGCCAAACTGTGAGGACTATCCCATCTCTGTAAGCTTCGGTTTCCTCGCCTGTAAAGTGAGGATGATAATACC